TTGTGGGTCCAGGTCTAGAACAGAGATCAAAGTGAGTGAAAATGAAGTTGTGTGTTTTCTGAAAGTGTTCACTGTGCCATAGGTGACTGTGTGCAGCCGCCAGGAAGAATTACTTTGAAGATGCTCTGGGACATTGTCATGCAACTAGATTGTATTTTTACCTATTAAGATATTCAAAGGAGACGGATTTGAACGTTGATTATAAATTTCAATATTTAATAATCATATGTAAACATCTAATCTGTAACTGCACTAAACCACGCAGATCTGCACTTCTAGAGTGAGAATGAGTTGATTGCCGTTTGTTGTGGAGTTGATAACATTTTTGTCAGTTTCCGTACGTTCCCGTAATGTCACGCTATGTTTTTTAAAACAAATTTCGTGAAGCACAAGAATATTTCTGATCGATGATGAAGTTTAAGGGTGGTTTTAATAAGTCTAGGTGATCAGAATCAAAGAAAAGAGATATTGCATGAATAAAATGATGCTTATATTTGAAAGAAAGCTTCATTTTCTTTCTGCAGAATATCTTATTTTTCTTTCGATTTGTGGTGAAATATGAACATAACTTTTTTTTGAGAGATCCACCCAACCGGTCCTGAAGTTTTGGCACAGTTGTTCCAGATGTTCTGACACACTTGATCGATAGTCATTTTGGAAACTTGCACTAGATTGTCACCAATTCTTTCCTTTTTTTACTACCAATATTCTGTCAGTTTCATTTTATGTAATGATTATTATTTTTGTCTAAAGTGCTTGTTGAATGCTAGTGTACTACTGGATTCTTGTATATTATTATGCTCTTTCAGATATAACACATTTCCTCCCTCATTTTGCTTTTGGTTTGTTTTTTCTTTCTTGTCATGCTGTCAAGTTGCATTTCAGAAATACTGTATAATTCTAATCAAAGCTATTGACAGACTGATTGTCTACTACATTGTATGTGTAAAAAAAAAGCTATTCCCCACCCCCACCCCCTTGATATCTCTCTGTTAGAACTTATCTCAAAGAGATACATACCTGCTCATCTACTTTTGGAAATGATAGTTTTTCATATTATAAACAAAGCTTTTGTAGCTCGTGATCATTGCGAACAGAATGCTGCCATCTAAAATAAAACGATAGGTTGGACAGTAATTCAAGCTTGAAGATTTTTGACTGGAATACATAATATGAAGGATGGCCTGTTGCTCCTGCGGTGAAGGTGAAGATCATGCTGCTGCGGTGATTAGTGTTACCACAGTTATGGACAGACAGACGTATGTGGTCTAATTTAACACTAGAAGCGTAGAGGTGAAGGTTTTCTCTGTCTAGGTTCCAACTGCAGGTCTAGGACAGACGAGTCAGTGTAAGTTACCAGGCAGAGAAAACCTCTGGATACAAAGTCCAGAGCTTGAAATCAAAGACCATCTAATCATACTGTGATTTAAACAGCATTCATTTTCTTGTTTTATTGCATACGAATTTGCATGATAATGACAATAATGATATTGAATTAAAATACAGCAAAATATTCATGTTATTTATTCAATGATTCGTGTTATATTAGTATTTGTTTTTTTTATTATATTAGTATATTATGGATTTATAAAGTATCCACATAATTATGCATTAATCCATAAAGTTAAAATGTGACCCTGGACCACAAAACCAGTCTTAAGTCGCTGGGGTATATTTGTAGCAATAGCCAAATTATTGATTTTTCTTTTATGCCAAAAATCATTAGGATATTAAGTAAAGATCATGTTCCATAAAGATATTATGTAAATGTCCTACTGTAAATATATCAAAACTTAATTTTTGATAAGTTCTATGCATTGCTAAGAACTTCATTTGGACAACTTTAAAGGCGATTTTCTCAATATTTCGATTTTTTTGCACCCTCAGATTCCAGATTTTCAAATAGTTTTATCTCAGGCAAATATTGTCCCATCCTAACAATGGAAAGCTTATTTATTCAACTTTCAGATGATGCATAAATCTCAATTTCCAAAAATTGACCCTTATGGCTGGATTTGTGTTATATAAATAAATAAACAAAATTTAATTTCTGAATAAAGTGCATCTCTAATCCAATTGAAACTTAAATCGATCAGTAAAAGATACCAGTAAAAACGTAGGTGTATACAGATAGATAGATAGACTTTAAAAAGATGAAAAATAAAATCATATGCAAATAACAGTAATAAAGGGCATACATTTATTCAATTCACTCTCAATTTTATTATTATTTGCATTATTATTGATTTTATATTATTATTTGAACACTCGCTCTCTCTCTTTGAGGCGTGGTTTATGTCATCACGTGATGTGAGTGACAGCTCACTCAGTCGAAATTCTCCAGTCGGTTTCCGTTAGATTTGGGAAGGAGATGGTCAGAGTTTGTTTTTTTACGGATGAACGGTCCGCTGTTACCGTGATGGATGAGCGTCGACAAAACAAGACTGGAGACTGTTAAAATAATGTTTCAGCTGCCTTAACGTGCTTTACAATGGCCATCAGGGAACTGAAAGTTTGTCTTCTCGGGGTGAGTGTTGAGATTCCTCCGTCTGCGGCTTCAGGATCATCGACATACAAACTGGAACTCTGATTATTTCGGATTCCTTTTCTCATACTCAACAACACGTAGTGGTTTTTTTTAACCGTTACGAAGTTCCTCTCTCAGTCATGTGAACCATCGTGATTTGTAAATACAAATATCGTCGGGTATTTTATGAGAGAGCTGGAGATAAAGCTGGACGTGTTTTCGCATTAATTTATTCTTAGGAATGTTGGCGGCCATGACGTCACCGCCGGCTGGAATCTGGCTGTGTTCGCGATGGAATTCTAGCGCACTGCGCTCTTCATATTGCGCAGTATATACTGCGTGGTGCATATTTAAAAAAAAAAAAAATAGAACGTAAAACAGAATTCATTGGCTATAAACAGAAGAGCATACTACTCTCTGACTGTGTCTGCACTATGTATACTGTGCACAGATGTTCTTTTACATGGAATACCCTAGCTGTAACCAACTGTGATTTAAAGGTCGTAATGATTTATTGATTGAAATTAACCTAAAGTTAAAGACATTTTATGCAAAATTGGATTTAAAATGCATTCCAAGGTGATAACCAATGTGATTAAAGCAAACATGATGTAATAAATCCAAATGACAACAATGCAGCATACAAAAGTTTAAAACACTTATTCACTAGAAACTGAAGGTCAAGTTAAAGGGATAGTTCACCCAAAAATGAAAATTTGATGTTTATCTGCTTACCACCAGGGCATCCAAGATGTAGGTGACTTTGTTTCTTCAGTAGAACACAAGTGATGATTTTTAACTCCAGCCGTTGCAGTCTATCAGTCGTATAATGCATGGCAATGGTAACAAAATCTATGAGAGTAAAAAAAAACATGCACAGACAAATCCCCACAGGGTGAGCCCCCCCTGCTGGCCTCACTAACACCTCTTCCAGCAGCAACCTAGTTTTCCCAGGAGGTCTCCCATCCAGGTACTGACCAGGCTCAGCCCTGCTTAGCTTCAGTGGGTAACCAGTCTTGGGTTACAGGGTGATATGGCTGCTGGTTATGGCAAAAGTATGTCATCCAGGTATTTTATACATACAGATGTTTTTATTCCATACAGTGTACAGTATGCATACTTCAGAAATTACATATTGCAGAAAAAAACCCATGAAATCTCAAATTCCTAATGTCCACATCATTTGATCTAGTTCTATAATAGTCTAAAGTCATGTGTCATACAGCGAAAGACATTTAAACATTGATCATATATTTAA